TTCCCCTTGCACGTATATGCTAGTTGTTCCCGACTCTAGGGGGTGGTGCTTATCTCTGTTTCAAAGCTGAAAAGCCAGCGCTATCCAAAGACATCACTGTGGTCATGTGGCCGGAATGACTAAACACCAAAGACGCATGGAACACTGTTACCCTCCCACCAAAGGTGGTTCCTATTTTCCTACTTGCATTTTTACATGCTTTCGAACTGCTAGGTTGGCTGGGACAAGTAACAGGAGCTCACTCTGTTACATGGCCCTAGAGATTCGAACTACCAAACTTTCTGATTAGCAAATACATGTATATATATTTATATATATACTCTCTCTGAGAGCCATTGAGGCCACCTGAGGGTTTATCTGTGCAAAGGGAATCAACCCCCTGACTTCCTATTTTCTTTCTATTCCACAGTTCAATTTCACCGTTTAGCATTGAGAGCACAAGACGCCAGAGACGGTCTGAATCGCCAGACTCTCGAAAGCGCCGCATCCACAGGTGTGATTTTGAAGGGTGCAATAAGGTTTACACGAAAAGTTCCCACCTGAAGGCTCATCGGAGGACCCACACAGGTGAGCAGCTCCAGTTGGTGCCATAAATACATGTGACATCAGTGAACATTGGCAGACATGAATTCAGTGGTGATTGCAGTTTGAAGAGCTGGACAGAATTCCATACGGTACAGTTCTTTTGGTAATTTCCACCCGCTATAATCTCTGCTGGGTCCTTTTGACCAGTGCTGCAATGTGAATGTCCCAGATCAGGTCCTCTTGTATAACACCCAGAAAGTTTAAACTGGCCTCCTGTTCCACTCGCTCTCCATTGATAAGCAAGGGCTGGATGTCTGATCTATTCCTTCTGTTGTCTATACAGTAAGCTCTTTGGTCTTATTGGTGTTAAGGACCAAGTTATTGTCTCCACACTACAAAAGCAACCATTCCACCTCACCTTGATAGGCAGACTGTTTCCCCCACTCCCGGAGGTGAGTCCCACCACTGTTGTATCATCTGCAAATTTAGTAATAGTATTACTAGTGTGAGTGGGAATGCAGTCATGCACATAAAGAGTATGTTCACATTTCAGACAAGATCTGGGCTGAAGGCTTTGTGCCAGGAAAGAATGGCAAGTGCCCCCCGGGCCTTCAATGTGTGAGAAAGCATTTTGCATCTCTTCTTGTGGTTAGCCCCACTCCACTATCACAAAACCAGAAAAGTTATGAACTTCCCATGGCAGCGTGACAGAGAAGGATCAACATGAAATAACCCATCCCTTGGCCTCTGGCTTCTAACAGCTTTACGTTGCCCTTCAGGAGCAAAGGATGTTCATAGGTTTCAGGTCAATGTGGCTCCATTGGCCTCCCCTTGGAGACTGTCTCTTGAGCAGCCTTGAGCATCGCAAGTTTTATAAGTTACTAGTCGTAACTTATAAAGCCCTTCATGGTATTGGATCTGGGTACTTGAGAGACCGCCTGCTGCCAATTNGGGAAGAGGCACGTGGGGGGAAGAAATCAGGATGACTGATATCATATGTTGAAACCTGCTCCTTTTTACCTACTTCCAACTGTAAGCCAGGACGAATTAAAAACAGAATATCTGTTACTGTCAGTCAATAGAACAAATCAATCCAGAGTTAAGGCACAAAAGATTAGACTCCAATAACTGCATTTTGACATATTATTAAACAAAGACTCCTCTCTTCTGAAATGTCTGTAATGCTGGGAGGGATTTAAGGGATTCATACATCGAAAATAAAACAACACATTGAAAAGGTAAGAAGATTGCAGATAGCTCTGTTTGGGTCATTGTCATTATCACAGCAGTCAGAGCCTTTATCCAACATCGATCAGCATTCATACTACTGAATTCTGAAAGAAATGTGGGAGACTGTGGTTAATTACCAGGCACTTTTTTTTAACAAAACCCTTATGTCGTTTAATCATGTATGACAGTCAATTTCCACATCACTGAATCGCTGTGTTGGGTTGGCTCATATGTCTAATCAAGCAACATCCCCAGCATTTTCAAGGGATGCTTTTGAATTTGAGTGGCTATTGAAAGGTCTCGCAAAGGAACCAGTGGCTTCTTATGCTGCTCTCCTACTTGAGGCACCAAGTAAAGAGAGGCAGTCCATAATCTCTGTGTATGCTACTTGGTCAACCCATGAACTCTTCCATACAATATGAATTGCATATTATTTTGAAATAATTTTATCAAGCTATGCAGTGAAATTAACAAAAACAGTGCATCCTCTCTGCTGCCTACTCTTTCACTGGATGTAGTTCTACTTATGAGTTGAGCCATGGTGGCGCTATGGTTAGAACACAGTATTGCAGTCAAATTCTGCTAACTGCCAGCAGTTTGATTCTGACCAAGTTTGACTCAGCCCATCCTTCTAAGCACGGTACAATGTGGACCCAGATTGTTGGGAGCAATATGCTGATTCTGGAAACCATCTAGAGAGGGCTGTAAAGCACTGTGAAGCAGCATATAAGTCTAAGTGCTATTGCTATTGCTGAACTCAGGATTGTTACGTGCAGGTATACCTGCTAGGATAGGTTCGATCATCAGAGGAGCATCTTAGCAGAGGAAGTTGCCAACAGTGTGATCAATTCTTGGAAGTTCTTTCATTCAAAAATTGCTCTTGAACTGTTGGACAAATAGACAACGCATCTTTCAAGGTTCTTCTGCTTGTAGTATCAACTCACTCACTGGGCAGATTGTTCAAGCAATTGTTCTTTTCTCCACTGCACTTTCAGGCCTGAATATACTTGGGGTTGGCAATTAGTAGCTTCTCTACTTTGCACTAATAGCATTCAAATCTAATACTTGGAATATTGCTACACAACTGAGTAACTATGGGTTATGTACAGTAACAGAGCCTCTCTACTGCAAGGGACCATGTTCATGCAGATACTACTTACATTATTTTATTGAGGAAAGAAATGTCTACATCACCCTGCCACAAACTGTATTTATCTTAGAAGGCTGAGCTAGTGTTTTGAACCTCATTTTCAGACTAAAACTCGCTTAAGGAAACATCTGTTTTGAAACTTAAGACAGTGAAGTCGTAAACATATTGAGAAGCATTAGGGTTTCCTGCTCTTGACCGTTTGGAAAGTGTTTTTTTAGCACCAAGTTCACTCAGAAATTGTAAATCTGAGGACAGAATGTTGGAATATGAACCCAAATCTCTTACTAGCTATGTTCAAATGACGTTGTATAGAAGCTATTCTAGCTATGATTTTATGTAAACTCAATTGAACCTTTCAGTTAGTTTATATTTGGTACAAACCCAGACAACCAGTTATATAAATCAGGGGTAAGCATATTGTGCAAAGATGAAGTCCTTTGTTAGTTTCTAGACTTTGGTTCTGTGCAAGATGAACCACGTGAAATTACAGTATTCTTAAGATCATCATTTAAATTTATGTACAACAATCATTTGTAGAGTTTTATATGACATATAATCAAGATCTTTATTCTGGAGAAAGACTGGATCCATACTAGGCTCCCGCAGGTTTCATAATGTCCCCAGTAGGCCCTAAATCTGCCTACTGTCCCTCAAGGGCATCATTGCTGTTTGGTTAGCAAAGCCACCATACGGCCTTGAGGCTGTAGTTGCATTATAGCGTCATTTTCACATTAAATTACCATGCCAGTGAAGAAAATGCCTTTATTGATATATTGAGAAGATAAATTGCATCATTGTGAATAATATTACATATCAATAAGGTACTTCAGTTATCCAAATTAGTCCATATATATTATTCCAGCAAACCTAAACAAACGTATCAGGTAGATTGGTTATTATCATGTTTAGGATGTATAAAAGGCTTGAGAAAAGCTTTCGGCCACACGAAAACCATACTGACTCCCATAGTGAATTTACAATTTATCCTCATATGCCTCGTCTTAGCCACATGATGGCCTTTTTGCTAGCTGAAATTTCAAGAGGAAAAGACCTTTAAGGGCTTGATGCAACAGCCAGCAAAGACATTACAATCCATTCAGGCATACACATAGCATTGGGAGAGGGGAAATACTTTAAAATGTTAAATGGGGCAGTAAGGGCTTTCTTGTTCTTGGTAGTTATCACCTGAGGTAGTAACACATACAGCCCATTACTGCAATTGTTTCTGAAATCTTATTGTACTTCTCCAATTTTCCTTTTCAAACCAATTTTGTCATTTTTAAGGCTGGTTGAAAAGCTTCCTAATTTAAAGCTCAACTCTATAACTGTAGTTCTGTACGCAGGGGTTCCTAATTTATACCTGAACAACCTCGAGCTGCATATGGCTGCAAAATAGAAAGAGGAGTAGGACTCTCTCACTTATTTTCCTACTGCCCAGGCTTTGGTCATGTAAGTTTTTCTTTGCCAGACATCGAGTCTTCTGGATGATCGCTTAGATGCTTTGACTATTCAGTTCCATAACTTATTAGCAGGCTTGAGAAACTGCACTAACCTGAATACTCCTAATATTTGCTTTTAAGGTTAACCATTTATTACTGCCTATCATCTAGGACCAATCACAGTAAACATTCTAATCATTCTCTATGATCTAGTATTTTGGTACTCCACCCTTATTTAATATAAATAGTGTGCTAAGAATCTGATCCAAACTTCACTTCTGCAATAAACTGATTGATTGGTCTCAAGCAAATCACCACTTTCAGTTATCTGCAATATGGATGGTAACATACAGCATGACTGTGAAACGATCAGATTCTTTGAAGTTTCTTAAATATTCTTATCATCCTACACAAAATATCTTGAGATCCATTATTTTTCCAAAGGCCGATTTTTCTTCCTCCTTTTTCATTTACTCTGCGAGTCCAAGCCTGAAGTCAAATTGAACATTCTAAATTACCTATTATTATTATGATCACTAAAGGTCTTATCATTTTTTCTTACTTCATTTATCAGCTGTAGCAGCAAACTAGATACCCAAACTAACATACTCAAAATAGTCCAGACATTTTTTTGTTCTTTGAAATTAAACTAATCCTAAATTAATCTAAACCATATCTCTAGGAAATCCATTTAATATGAACTCTTTTTAAAGAGAAGAAATAAGGGCACAAAGTAAAGGCTACCATCTTTTAAACATGTATGTTGCTTTTATTTATACAAGGATAGAGACTGTAGCATTTTTTGCTTTTACTTGCGATCATTTAGGCTTAGCATTACTAATAAATTGCTAGAAATTTAGTTTAGAATCAGATAACGGGATTTTGGCCGGGAAGTGAAAAAAATGAAACCTCCCATCCCACACCAAACATTAAAACTAGGGAATATCTAAATTTATACATGACATATAGAAAGAATGTTAATTCTCTCAGGAAGAATGGAAATTGCTCAACCACTGCTGGAAGAGATATTCCCCAGTATTCCCAAGTGTAGACTTTAGGATAAGTTGCAAAAAAAGAACATAGCAATCTCTTACAGCTTTTCCCTTTCAAATTTCTCATCTTGAACCCACAATTCACAGCACCCTGTTTTATTGTCAGCATGAATAGCTTTTTGCTGTTAAAAATAAGGCCTGGCTAGTGGTATTCTGGGAGGAATAGGGATCAGAAAATTTTGGTTTAGAATTATTAGAAGACATTCCCACCCACCACCCATCCCACTTTTAGGATATAGACCCGACAATATTTTAAACTGGCCCTAATGTTAAGAGGAACCATTGGACGTAAGGAGGGGCATCAGTAAGGTGTGCCAAGGCCACTCCTGAACAGCAAGTATATGTCTTCCCATTAAAATCTGACCCATTATACACTGCAGGAAGCAAGGACAAGAAAAATGCTAAGAAGCTGCTTTCCCAGAATGGAATGATTGGGAAAAAGAGGCGGCACAGGGATAGCAAAGTGTAAATTTCCTTTCTCATTAATATCTCTAGCTAAGTGTGTCCCAGAATCTTGTTCTCCAATTTTGGAAAGTGGCAGAGTTTGCGGTCCTCAGGAATTGGATGCCTCGTATTGGCTTGATCTAGGTTTCCTTTGTGGCAGAGCCTTGACTTCTGGGCTGAGTGGGATCAAATGTGTCTGTAGGGGCGGGGCTGGTGGGCCTGGGTCAGGCCCAGGTCCAGTTCCATTGATTCCGGTAGGGCAAGTCTGGTTGAAGCTGTTTGCATTTCCAGAGGGTGGTCGGGACTTATAGTTGGACTGGTACCAAGACCCATTTCTATAGCGATTTGAATTGAGATGTGATGAGCCATTTTGGCGTTGTCCTTGGGACCGGTAACCTTGACCGGACCTTCTATTTCCTTGGAAACCCTGGAACAGAAAGAAGGGGGGAATCAGTGAGATCAGTACCAATATTATGAACAAAGGCAAATAAACCTGTCCCAGGATAATGTTGCAAGATCCAATCTGGGTCAGTCTCTGGGACCAGAGCTTTACACCTCTGAGCTTTTGGACTCGTGCTGCAGCCCATCCCCAGGGACCTTCTCTCTCCTGGAATATATCTACTACCCAAGAAGACGCAATGGCCTAGAATGTTTCATTTGAATGCTGTCAATCCAGACTTTAAAAATGGGAAGCTATTTTAAATTTGGTGCATGTCCTACCAGAGTTGAATTTTCATTCCAAGTGTTGGCTTAAGACAAGCAAAGGTGAGATTAAAGGTGTGGTATGGCAACCTACTACATGTGAGAATGTGGGCCTTCACTTTCCCCTTCTAAATGAAAAACGCTACAGTAAAGAGGACCCAATCCTGGGCAATCTCCAGGCCACTCTCATCTACAGAAACAACATTAAATCATTACCTCACGGTGGGGTTGAGATGGACGGCTTGTTGCATTCGTGGAGGTTTCTACAGGGGATGATTGTTTCTTATTGGCCATTATGAGGCTAGGAGAAGAGGTAGAGGCACACACTGTGGTAGTGGACTCATCCGGACTGCTCACTGCCATGGAGGTCATGGAGCTGCATCGTGATCTGGTTGAATAACTGTTCTTTGGATGTGAAACTGAAACAAGAATGACAAAAATGTTATTTCACACTTTTTGTTTTATAATGTAAACCTGAATTTACCTCTCATCTCATCAGCAACCAGTGATTATATATTTTCCAAATTCTTACACAATCAAATTGCAATAAAAAGAAAAACTGCTTCCAGTCTGCTCCTATAGTGTTCCTGTAGTTGCCATTGCCACCACTTTACAAATACTCCTCAGATATTGTGAGCTAACTGAGGGGGGAGCCATGTGCCTGCTGAAAAATACCTTGAGATATAGAAATACCAAAAATACTGGAAGAGGCAAGGTACAATCCATTGAGAAGCTGACAATCTTAACAGACCTAAAGATAAAGTAAAATTGCAGGGGGGGGGGGAACAGAACTAGTAAGCAGAGAGGAAAAGCCTGCAAATGCACTTTTGTGAAAGTGAATGGATTTTACTTTACTAGCACTGCAAGAGGGACAGTTGAACATTTCTTCATTTTTTTCTTAAAATCTACAGCACTGGGCTATGTCAAAGGGAGATTCCCAAACCCCTGTTCCACGCTTATTAATTTGAAATATTTATAGTGCGCTCCACGCCTGAAGGATATATAATATATAAATTTATAATAGACATAGAATAAGCAGGATAAAATAAAAAGTGTATGTAAATGACTCAGTTCTGGAACTGTAATAATATGAACACTAACATAAGGGACCTCGATCATCTTCCTTTCCTGAGCTGATAAAATTTTGAGACCTTTTCAGTTGAAAGCCACAGAAAAGCATATTTTCAGAATTTTAGAAATGCTTTTACCAGTCACATATGTTCAGTTCACTTCAGCTTTATCCCATCATTGCTGTGTTTTTGTGTGGGTACCCAGGATGTACAAGCTCACCTTGTCCAAAGGATTCAATGCTTTTCTTTAGTGCATCCAGGTCACAAGTGAAGCGAGCCACCCTTCCCAGATCTTCATCATATTTGCGCTCGCTAACAAAATGCTGCAGAGAAGAAAAACATAGGCATGTGAGCACAAAGCACATTCATGTTTTGGGGCAGAAACTGTCAATGTGGTTGCTGGTATCAACCGAGGCACAAACTACATGTGCTTCTCTCTGCTTCTATATAATTGCAGAAAAAGAAACAATTGGGTTTATTTTGCAAGACGACCCCATTAGAAAATAATGAACTGTTTAAAGATGGAACTGCTGATAGAACAGCAAGTACCAGAGTGAATTTTTCCATGCAGTGAGATTTTTGTGGGAATTTGAATGTAACTTCTGACCTCTAGTGGTAGGCAAGGGAAGCATTTGTCAGTGTTGCTGGTTAGATCAACTTTTTGCAGTCACAATCAAATTATTCTTCAGTTTTATAGAGGTTAATAAATGTGAAAAAGTTTCAGGCAAAGTCTTCAACTTGATTTTCAAGTTGTTCTTTTCAATTTTTTTTAAAAATAATGATTTTGTTTTTCAGTCAAGCTTAAGCAAATGTTGTTCCCAGGTCTGGTACTGAAAATGCCTGTTTCAAATGCTAAAGACTAAGACCGACTCCTCCTAAGTATGTTTTTGGCTGTTCAATGTAGCCCTTCTGCCTAAGAGGAATATAAGGAAATGTAATTATTGTATTTTTTGGTTTATAATACGCATTCCCCCTCTCCAAAAATGGATGGAAATGTCTGTGCGTCTTATAGACCAAATGTTGCCGAAACCCCTCCCACTCACCAGTCCCCACCCTTCAGCCTCTGCCTCCTTGTAGCAAACAGCAAACAGCCTGATCAGCTTCAGCACAGCCTGATTCAGCACGGGCAGCTGATTGGCAGTTGGATCGGCCTCCCGGAATACAGCCCATCAGCTGTTCCAGGCTGAAGAGATCACCACTGCACATTGCTGGCTGCATGCCCCATTTTCGGCCTCTGTGAGTCCTGTTTTCGGCCTCCACACATCTTGTTTTTGGCCTGTTCCAGGCTGCGGGATTTGCCGCCACCTATCGCAGCCAAACAATGGTGGCGGCAATCCCCGCCACCTGAAATGGGCCAAAAATGGGACACATGGAGGCCGAAAATGGGATGCGCGGCAGCAGCAATAGGTGACGATGATCCCTGCAGTCTGGAACAGCTAATCGGTGGTATTTTGAGAGGCCTATCCAGCTGCCAATCAGCTGCTTGTGCTAAATCAGGCTGTTCTGAAGCTGACCAGGCTGTTTACTGTTTGCTGCAAGGAGGTAAATTGCTGGGGGGCAGAGGCAGGTTTTTTTTTTCTTGTTTTTCTCCCCAAAAGCTAGGTACGTCTTATAGTGCGAAAAATACGGTACATAAACAGAAGCTGTGAAAATGTAATTTCTCTGTGCATGTTGTGGCCATACTTTTGATGTGAGATCTCTGCCCCAACTGCCCAATCTGTGTACATTAGAAAAAGGTGCATATAGCCAAAAGCAGCCTGGAGATTCACCTTTATATCAGCTCTAAGTTCTACCAATTGCTCTTCTGACATTCGGACTGCTACGTCAGTTAGTTTCTTCAGTGCCTCTGCCTTCTTTTGGCGGCTGCTTAGGATTTCCACTATAATGTAAAACAGAACCCCAAAAAAGCAATCATGTTTATAATAAATACAATAATTAACCAATTAAAGCAGAAAACAATGTCTAAGTTGCTGCAATTCTAATTCCTGCCTGCCCTTATTCTCCCCTTTGCCTGATATTTTAGTTTATCCTTCGAAGGTCAGTTCCAGCTCTGCAATACATCTGAAAAATGCTTGAGGCCTTGGAAAATGCCTAAGACGACTGGAGTTAAATGCCAGGGGGCAATTACCTAGGCAACAGGATGAGAATTCTTAAGTTCCTTAAATTGATAGATACTTATGTAGCTCAAACTCAAAAAAATCTGTGAATAAAGTCTTTTTGCTTTCTTTTTCTCTCTCCCCCCTTTAATTAATTTTTTTTCAAGTCAAACCGGTTGTTTGCTTGATTGCAATGGGTGGGCCAGGGTGAAGTTTATAACTCTTTTCTCCTGAATTCTTTTCCCAATGAAACATGTTATATCAAAGCAGTTATTTTGTCTTGTGAGAAGAAAACCATGCAGATACGAAATAAAGCCTCGGGGAACTAAAACAGAAAGAACTCCAGTTTTTCTACTGAGAGAGATAATGGGAATTGCTTCGTTTAAAACACAGGTAGCCACAAGTTTATTTAGATATGAAGATTATAGGATCACAAATATTGATTCAAGTCTCAAATCAGACAATTGGGCACATTTTTATTCTTCCACTTTTTAGCATATTTGGACTCTAGAGGTTTCGTATCAGTTGGAATGGTCACAGAGAATGAGACAGTGATAGTTTTCATTCAGGATAAGTAAATCAGCGTATAAATGCACAACATAGCAGCACTCTGTTTAACACTGTGTTTGTAAGGAGAAAGAACGTTGGTCCTTACCTGAACATTCGTTTTAAGTAGAACTGAGAGAGGGGTTATGCGTGGGATATCATCTAAGCCTGATTGGTCCAGAGACTGAGGGAAATTTCTTTAATGCTCCACCTTTCCCCATTGGTTCCCAGTTTCCTCGATGTTGTATGAAGAACCTGCAAAAGACCGCCTCAACCCTCCACCTGTCTAGCTACCTAAGGTCTAACTAGGGAGGGATGTAACCCCTCCCTCAATTCTACTTAAAACGAATGTTCAGGTAAGGACCAACGTTCTTTTACCAGTAGAATTGAGGGAGGGGTTACGCGTGGGACGTACCCAAGCTCAGTCCCAGGGAGGGAATTAAGCCTCAGGGGGAGGGGCGGTCGCCACCTGCTGGAGGACCCTGGGCCCAAAGGATGCATCCGCAGATGCGAAAGAATCTAAACAATAGTGTCTGATAAAGGTGGTTGGGGATGACCAAGTGGTCGCCCGACAAATGTCCTCGAACGGGGCCCTAGTGGCCCAAGCCACTGTGGTAGCAGCGCTGTGTGTAGAGTGGGCCATGATCCCAGAGGGAGGAGTCTTGCCAGAGGACTCATAGGTGGAGGATAGCCTGGTGTAACCACCTACCAACTGTAGCCAATGATACTGAGCCCCAGGGAGGCAGGCTGAAATGAGATGAAAAGGGCCTCAGACCTGCGAAAGGTTGCTGTGCGCCTAAGATAAATAAGCAGGACACGGTGTACATCTAATCAGTGCCAAAGATGCTCCCACTCATGAGAGGGGACAGGGCAAAAGTTGGGAAGGATGACCTCCTGCGTCTGGTGGAAGGGGAATTGACCTTTGGGAGGAAGGTTGGGTCCAGGTGTAGGACCACTCTATCTTGATGAAACTGATAAAGATCGTCTTTGGATGACAGGGCCCCTAACTCCAAAATTACGGCAACTAAGAATGCCACCTTCAATGATAGGAACCTGAGGTGGACCATCCGCAATGGTTCAAATGGAACCCCTGCAGAGCCCTTAATACTAAGGGAAGGTCCCACATGGGAAATCTATGTACAGGGGGAGAGGGGGCTGAAGATTTGCAGCTCCCTTCAGGAATCTTTTGATTAGTGGGAGATGGGAGGGGGGGGGAGGTAGTCCCCAGGAAGGACCAAAGACAGGGCCACCACCTGGCATCGTATGGTATTATGGGATAGCCCCCCATCCAAGCCCTTCTGCAAGAAATTGAGGGCCTGAGCCACCGAAGCCTCGGTTGGGCAAATATCCAGGGAAATACACCACAATGAAAGTGGATCATGTGGAATTGTATATTTATGTGGTGACGGTCGCCTGGAGGCCTTGATGGTCGCTATGATCTGAGGGGATAGGTTTGCATTCTTCAGGAGGCATCACTCAAGTGCCAGGCGGTCAAGTGGAGCCACTGGGGACCCCCTGACACAAGGCAACCTCCTTCCGAGGAATCCTCCAGGGAGGGGAGATGGACAGTTGGACAAGGTCCACACACCAAGGCCGTCTGGGCCAATAAGGAGCTATCAGGATGATGGACGCCCTCTCCACCACTACCTTCCTCAGGGTCCCTGGGATGAGGGGAAGAGGGGGAAAGGCATAAAGGAGGCCTGGCAGCCATCTGCTCCTTAGGGCGTCTACCCTTTCCTCATTCCAGGCCAGGGAGCGTGAGAAAAATCTCGGGAGCTGTGCGTTGGCTGGGGTTACAAATTAGTCCACCAGAGGTGTGCCGAATTGTTGGCAGATCTTGTGGAACAGTTCACGCTGGAGCTACCATTCGCTGTGGTTGATTATCGCACGGCTCAGCCAGTCGGCCTGGTGATTGGCCGTATCCGAAATGTGCTCCGAGACCACCAACGCTAAATGTCTCTCTGCCCAGGAACTGAGGCGTAGGGCTTCCAGCCACAGACTCAGTGAGTGAGTGCCCTCCTGATGGTTCACATGTGCTTTTGTTGCTACATTGTCCATCAAGAGGAGCACGTGGCGGCCAGCGATCAAGTCCCTGAAATGCCGGAGGGCCAGACGGGCTGTCTTTAGTTCCAACCAGTTTATATTGTGGCGCTGGTCTGAAATCGACCATCGACCCTGTGCCAGTCTGGATCCCATCAGGGTCCCCCAGCTGAATAGACTCGTGTCTGTTGTGATTGTCACCCGGTCCGGCTCCCAAAACTCAGACCTGCGATGCAAGGCCAGGGACAGCCACCACCCAGGGACAAATGAACTTCCGGTGTGAGGTGGATGGACTTCAACGAGTTGCTCAATCGTTTGCGTTGGTATGGAATGAGAGTCCATTGAAGAGTCCTCGAATGCAGCCGCGCGCAGGGCACTATCCTTATGCAGGACACCATCTTGCCTAGGAGACAGGCCAAGGTCAGTATGGAAACGGACCGACTTGTGTGTACCTGCCGAACCAGAGACTGGAGGCTGGAGAGACGGTCTGACGATAGGCAGACGAGGCCCGCCTGGGAGTCTATAACTGTCCCTAAGTGAAGAATTCATGTCATGGGAGATAAATGGCTCTTGGGGAAGTTGACGGAAAACCCTAGAGATTGAAGAGTTGGATGGTCAGCTGAAGGTCAAGGACCATCTGCGTCTGTGATTGGGCCTGAATAAGCATGTCGTCTAGGTAGCATTGGAGTCTCACCGGGATGGACCTGAGGTGAGCTGCCAATGCCGCCAGGACCTTCGTGAAAGTGCGATGGGTTAAGGCTAGGCTGAATGGAAGGGCACGATACTGGTAGTGAAACCAGTTGTGGGAAAATCTGAGATACCTGCGATGGGAGCGCAGAATTGGAATGTGGAGGTAGGACTCCGTTAAGTTCACTGATGCCAGATAGTTGCCCCGCCTGACCCCTTGGAGGATTGACTTGAGGGAAGACATTTTGAATCACCTGTAGACCAGGTAGCGATTGAGTCATTTGAAGTCCAGGATCGCCCTCCATCCCCCCAAGCTCTTCGGGACAACAAACAGGTTGGAGTAAGCCCATTCTGTGTTCTGCCCTTGGAACCGTCTCCACCACCAGAATGTCCAGCAGATGTTGAATGGCTAGTGACATGAGGCAGCGGCAAACCGGATCCCGAGACGGGGGAAAGATCCTAAAGAACATTGGGGGCAGGGAGAGAAACTCTAGGGGTAGGCCGTACCTGACGGTCGACCTGACCCAGGCGTCCGATGTTATCTGGTCCCACTGATCCGCAAAGTGTTCCAGATGGCCGCCTATGGAGAGACATGGATTGGAGTCATTCCCCCTTGTGAAAAGGGTGCTCTCCCCAACAAAAGGGCCATCTGGACTGGCCCTCGTATCTGTTTCTGTCTCGATAGAATGGTCGTTGAGTCTGTCTATCTGACCTATAAGGGACAAACCTATGGTGATGGTAGTCAGTCTCGGGTGCTTTGTAGAAAGGTCTATGATAGTGGGATAGAGTGTCTGGTTTTTTGGTGTTAGTAGGCAAGACCTTTTTCTTGTCTTTATTCTTTATGAGAATAGGTTCTAGACACTCGCCAAAGAGATTTGGCCCAAGTACAGGGCCGCTGCCAAGTTCCATTTGGCTTGGTTATCCCTCTGCCAACTGCGTAGCCAGAGAAGACGCCTGGAAGTCACTGAGGTGGACAAGGCTCGGGACGCATAAATAGAGTCCAGAGTGGCATCCACAGAAAACTGCATGGCAGTGGTAATTTTTGTGAGGTCTTGTAAGAGGCGTTTGTCCTGCACTAGGATGCGGTCCTGTAGCTGATGGAGCCACATGACCACAGTGCAGTTGAAATAAGAGGCTGCCATGGCAAATCTAATCGCCCAGGCGGAAGCAGTGAAGTTCTTACGCAGAGTAAGTTCCACGCACTTATCCTCTGAATTTCAACTTGTCAGCTGCATCTCCCGACACTACTGTGGAGTTCGTGGCTAGAGCAGCCCACTGGTGCATCTACAGTTGGTAGCTGCAAAGCCTGGGAGAAAGCCTGCTTCATGTTGTAGAAGCGGCGATCGTTGCTCCCAGGGTTGGGAAGTGTGGAGGGGCGAGCCCATTGATTTTTTACCACCTCTAAAAACAGAGGAGGAGCTGGGACCTCCTCCATATTGGTGGCAGTATTGGAAAACATGGCTAAATTTGGATCTCTAGGCTGGGAAACTGCCGGCTCTCCTGTGCCTATCTTGGTGGTCCTTCTTGCCTTATGCAACAGTGTTTTAAATATAGGTGGAGGAAAAGGCCTGGGAAGGCCAGAGGGTTCGAAAGCACGGTGTCTTCGTCCTCCGAAAACCCCATGTCCTGCTGGGCGTCCACCCCTAAGATGGAGCTTTTGCTCACCACAGGAGAAGCTGGTCTGGAACTCTCCTGACCGTGGGCAGCTGTGGTATGTCTGGGCCTGGAGCGTGGCCTGTCCTCTGCCTGAGGCAGGAAAGCCTGTTGCAATGCCCTTTGAAATGGCCAATGAAATAAGCCGTTTGATGCTTTCAGGAAGGAGTTCTAGGTCATCGAGCTCCTCCTCAGCAGGCCCTGTGAGGGAAGCCTTAGGGACAAGGATAGAAACAAGAAAAAAGTCCCGAGAAGAACCTTCTAGTGGATCGCCCATTTCCTCTCTAACTGCTCTTGGGTAGTCAGGGGGAGAGGGGGAAATCGCCTGTCTGGGCTGCCTGCGTGACCTAGGAGGAGAGACCGACTGAGGAGAAGTAGGCCAAATAGGTGATCTGGATCTGCTTGGAGAGTTGGGCCTAATTGGCTGGGCCTGTCTCTCCACTGGCAATCCTCTTTTCTAACGCTCTCTGCCTCCTGAGTTCGTCCCTGACTGTAACTCTGGAGGGACGCTGGGTGGCAGAAGGCTTGGAAGCTGCCACTCTTGTTCTGGGCCTATTCACCTCCCCTTCCCGGGCCTGCTATAGGGACTCCCCAGGGATCTGCACCATTTCGGGCCTAGAATTGCCCATTGCACTCATGTGGCCTTTTGTGGTGAACAGCTGTGACCGGCCAAGACTCCTGGCAAAGCTGCGGTCTTGCGGGATCTGCTGGGGCTGTGGGCAGTACTGTTCTGCCTGCTGGCCTCGATCTGTGGCCATGTTACAGGCCCGAACCTTAAAATGGCTGTCTCCACGTGCGTGCCACAAAATAGCCACCGGAGGCTCCTGCATGTAGCCTGGGGAAGCCAGTGCGGCTGCGGCTCGTCGGGCGTTCTGCCGGCTCGCTCTTCACGCCGCAGCTTGACTTCGAAACCATGGCCCCATACTAGAGGCTCGGCTCATCTGCAAAAAGCCAAGTGGCTGGTGCAAAAAGCGGCGATTCGGCTCCCACGCCGCAGCTCGGCTCTTTCTCTTCAGGCGCGGCTTGTTTTGATGAATTCTGGCCGCGCCGCTTCTAAGGCTCACCGATCTTTACAGCCATCCTGCAGAGCTGCAATGATGAAGTCTGTCACACCCGCTGGCCCGGGGTCCGGACAGAGCTCTCCATGGACCACTGGCAGGAGAGAAGCCCCAAGGGATCTCCCACTCCGAAATGAGCAGGAGACCTGGTCTCGGTGGGCAGCAGCTCGAGCAATTTGAAATTTAGAATATTCAATTAACTAAATTAAATCAATTAGCAACAATCAATACGCATGAATATTTCCTCTAGGGAACCAAAAAGCCAGCATTTGGACCAAAGACTGAGAGGAACCTGGGAACCAATGGGGAAAGGTGGAGCATTAAAGAAATTTCTCTCAGTCTCTGGACCAATCAGGCTTAGATGATATCCCACGTGTAACCCCTCCCTCAATTCTACTGGTAAAAATCCTATTCTGGTGTAGTGGCAACTGGGATTAACTATGGCACTATACTTGGAAAATAAATACAGGTGATCCTTGACTTACAACCACAAATGAGACCAAAATTTCCATTGCTAAGCAAGAAGTGAATTGCGCTCCATTTTACTTTTTTTTTTTTTGCCACAATTGTTAAGCAAATTACTGAAGTTGTTATGTGAATCATGCGAATCTGGCTTCCCACATTTGGCTTTGCTTCATTAAACGTTCGCAAAAGGTGACCAGCTGGGAAAGTTACAAAAGGTGATCACATGACCACAGGACAATGTAGTGTCAAAAATACATGCCAGTTGCCAAGCACTGAATTCTAATCATGTGACTCTGGGGATGCTGCAACAGTTGTAAGTGTGAAAAGTAGTCATAAGTCACTTTTTTTAGTGCCACTGTAACTTTGAACGGTCATTAATTGAATGCTTTTAAGTCAAAAGTAAAACCAGATCTTATCCATGTATCTATAATTACAAGATATTTGAAACATGAACCTATACAACTAGATGTGATATAAAAAATAGCCAATTTGCATGCATATAGTATGAGGTTTACATATCTGGAAACAGATATGGAAATCCTTCTTTGTATTTTGTCTTGGTTTGCTTATTTCAAACATCTGGTGGTCTTGTACTGGTTTAAGTACAAAGATATTAACATCGTTGTGCTTTACAAAACTTACTTGCTTCTGCCTTTACTTTGTCCATTTCACCAAGTAGGGCTACTTCTCGATCCATGAGACTAAAGGAAGAAAAAGAAAGAAAGAAAGGAAATAAAGATTAAAATTCTTCTATAACTCTCAGAAATCATCTCAATGATCAATCAGGCCATTAGATTGGGACAAATCTCTGCCTCCCTGATGGAAACAGTACCTTGCTATACATTAAGCTTTCAAACACTGAATTGATAAATATCATTATCATAGGAATAAGTCAACTTTTTTTCTGAGACTTACAGAATCTTTTTTTTTTTAGGTTAACCAACTGAAATTCTACATGCTTTATCACTGTTTTGGTTCCAAAAATCGTAACTATCTTGATGTTTTAAGCTTTCATTTCCAAAGCTATTTACAGTTTGCTGTTCTACTTTCAATTCCCATGTAGCAGTCACTGTGTCCTATTAAAGTGTTCAACTGCCTATAATTCTCATATTTCAAATGGTCATCTGTAAATTTGCCTATACAAGGTTTGTACTTGCAAGCACCCAATTTGAAACATACCAGAACTATTATTTGCAGGAAATTGAGGCTCATTGTAACTTGTCCCCTACAACAGGGATCCCCAACCTGTGGGCCATGGCTCACTACTGGGCCGCGCACTAATCACCACTGGCCACATGAGTGGCTGGCCAATGGTCAAGTCTCTGTGCATGTGCATAGCCCCACCTACACAAGTCCACTCGCCCTTGCCTTGCCGTGGATGCTCGCCGTGTCACAGATGATCGCGGCCCCACTTGTGTTGGCATCGCTGCAAATGCTACGGGCTTGCATAGATGTGCGTGCCCCTCCCACAAAATCAGCCCCTTTGCCCCCTCCACCCGCTCCAAGCCACCACCCAGAAAGGTTGGGGAACTCTGCCCTGCAAGTAGTAACTGTTGTTTTTCTTCTCAAATTAGCAACTGCTAGTAACGCCTGGAACTGATAAAGCAAATTAAGTACCAGATATGGGGGTGGGGACCAGTGCTCATTTTGTGAGCAGAGATAATCCCCCGTTTAAAAACAAATTCTGTTCCCAAGATATTCTTTTAAGTTAAATTTGTATGTAAGCCAAAACAGCATTATAATACTGTATAAACAGTATTGTGTAATTAACTTGAATCGTTGTGTATTTAATTTGAATCATTGTGTATTTAACTCAGATTTTGCTAGAACAGGTTCTAGACTGAACTCTGGGTTGTTCTTTTAACCTGAGGGCTTGCTGTACACTGGTGACCACTTGAAGAACCAGTGTTTCAGGTTAACCGTTACTCTGTTCTTTCTCGCTCTGATTTCCTCTGGGTTAGCGCCAAAGAGCCATTCAGACAAAATTGTTGATTGAGAATAAAGACTGATGGTACTAGTACCAGCCTATACAATACAAGAATCAGTAGGCCCGTATGTAGCTGAAGTGGAATGGTCCAGTACAGACTGGGCCCCTTTGCCAGCTCACAGCATATCAAAATAGCAATGTTTTGAATGACACAGGTACCGCTTTCTGAATCTGTTAAGAGTAGTGGAGAATATACTGTTCCTTATGAAGGGCTTCTATCCTCTAGCATATGCCAAAGAGGAAGAAAGATTTGGAAAGAAATAGGAAGAATAAATTCTTGGTTGAAATGCAAGAGAACAGGCTTTTGAAGCATCAATTTATTCCTATGGAATGCCAGGAATCTGTTTATCGTGAGCAAAGCTCATTCGTACGCCATGCTATAATACCTGTGAGGGTGGGGGAGGCGTAATAAATGCAGGATAATATAAATGCACAGTGATTATTTATGGGCATCATTAGAACCTCTAAAAGTCTCTGAAAAGACATTCCCCTCAGGAGTCTTGGCAGAGGTTGGCATGGCTACCAAGAGCTGTTCGCCATACAGCTGCTTCTCTGATCTTCACTACCGCCCTCAATAACAAGGAACAAGGAAATAAATAAAACATTATTTGTTGACATTTTATCTTTATCCACTACATTCTCTTATCTTCTTTTTTGTAGCTGTTTGTTCTGTCCCTTTAAATATTTTAATACAAATAACACCCCTTGCCCCCAAAATATAGCAATCTTAGGGAATCTGAAAAAGCTCAGAGGTTTCCTAAGGGGGTCATGCATCTGAGAAAGAGATAAAGGAATGATCTGATATTTCATTTTAATTCAAAATGTCTGAGGGGCTGAGGATAATTCAGAGTAGTTATCTATCACACCATACCACTAAATCATGCAGAAATGGGTGATATCAAATTCTGAATATCTGCATGAATAGGTTCCAGTTTAGATGCATCCAGATGAACAACTGATAAAGGATAAAATATAATCACTGAAAGCTTGCATCTCAGAGGTTGAACAATCCCAGCAATGGTTCAGAGGTTGTGATAATAAAGGCCATGGATGATGATGCAATTCTAAATCCTAACCACCCGTACATATGTTCCAACTTCTATTCAGGGTAACAAGCCAAGGAAAGCCAATAAAATCATTGCAGTGAGGAGAATGAAGACAGGATAGATATCAGCCTTTATTATTATTAAAGCAGCTACAAAGTAGAGTTCTACCACTTGCCTTTATGAATGAAGTCCTCACTTAATTGGGAGTGGCAACTCCATTGTGATGTGGTTGTAAAGTGCAAACTCATATACCATGCCAACTTACAACAGCAGTTGTAGTTGGTTCCCATCATTAAGTAAATCCCATGTAGTCATTAAACAGAACATCATGTGACTGCCATTTGCGATTTCCTGCTGGCTTCTCCACTGGAATTTGCTTGTGAAAAGCCAGTGGGGAAGGTCATAAATTATGACCATGGGATACTGCAACCATCATAAATAAATGCTGGTTGCTAAGTGCCCAAATTGCGATCACATAACCTCCGGGAGGGTGCAACAGTTATAACTACAAAGATTGCTTCTAAGTCTCCTGGTTCAGTGCCATTGTAACTCTGAATGGTCACTGAATGAGCTGCAGTACCTGTACAGGAGAACCAGATAATTTGTGTTTGAAAGCAATCCTGATGGCAAGGCTGATTAAATCTCAATCAATGGATTTATTTCTCAGACCAATACTAGGTAAAAGTAGCCTGAAGGGATGAACTGCTTATGTACCTTGTATTTCTTTTATTATGCCTTCAATATCAAGTGTCGTCTGCCTGCTTATTGTTTGTGCTTTAACCCAAAATCATTCTAGTGTTCAAGGCAATCATAAAATCTGATCAGAAAATTTAGAGGATTAATTAGGCTGCCTTTGTGATGTGCGCCCAGAGACAGATGATTTGTCCTTCAATTGGAATTTCCCCAAAATTCAGAAATTTTAGACTGAACTTATATATTTAAAAGTTTGAGCATCTTGAGCAGGGTTATCCAAAACCTGAACATCTTCATTCCTGGCAATAACTTCAGGACTTTACTGAACATTCATTTCTTTTTGGAAGTGGCAAAGAGAGTTTCCCATCAGGTAAATGTTTTATTGCCATACTTTCTCAATTACAAAATAGCATCTAGAGTGCAAGGAGCCCATGAAAGCTCTATTGTGGATGAACAACCCTAACCCAACATGAAAATAAAAATATAAAACAAAAGGTGATAGTATATGATAACAAGTCAAATAAAAACTGAAAATACGGTTTTCAATTGCAGAGTTATTAAACATTACTGTAGAACAGCTAAAGGTGAAAACAGTGAAAGAGTAATGCAGAGAATATTTAGCATGAGGGTTTGATCTTCAGGAAACGGGACACTTCAGTCTGTTACATGGCAAGGTATTCCTGAATGGATTTTCCTCTTTTTGGCCAAATATTATAAATTCATCATCATATTTAAAAAGAAATACAGCTTGCCTAATGAGCACATTATGAATTTCTAAAGCAAAATGATTACATTTTGAAGGGATGCTATAAAATATTACTTTCAGTTTTAGTTTACAAAATTGTGGCAATTCCTTCAACCTCTTCCAGCAAGTGATTACAACCAATGTCTATCAAGAGAACATATTTGTAATGCCCACAGTTCTCTTGACAGACTTCCTACATTGAACACGCAATGCTGCATTTATGTGTTGATGCAAATCATTTTCCTCAGAAGTGAATAGAAAGGGATTTGTATGCTGTGGCTCAAAGATACACAACCTTACTTGCAGGATGGCAATTACCCCGTTTTGAAGAAAGAACAAATAACAAACCCTTGATTCTTTTATCTGGCATTTATTAAAGGAGGCTCTACTGGCTTACTTCCAAACTAGCCCTGCATTTCCCTACACGGTGCAGTCACGGAACTGCACTTCCTGCTTTCTGCCCTTACTCTGCCCCACAGCAAGCAGAATTATTGAAACAAGGTCTTTAACCTTTTAAAACATGACGCATGATGAAGCAAAGATTAGAGGAGTGACACAGGAGGATATGATACATAAAAAGCTCTAGTTTTTTATGCTGAAGGAAGAGATATCTTCAGGGGAAAAACACCATCCAAATGAATGTGGGATAATACTGAATAACAGTTCTATTAGCAAAATCCGCAATGAGCATTAGTTCTAAATATTAAAAGTCATGTGGAGGCTGCTAGCCTTCACTTGGGGAATCTTTAAAGATTCTCCTTTGCCTACAATTCCAATATGTATCCTTGGAGAAATAAATCAGATGCAAGTGACCCTCACTAAAAAAACCGATTTCATTATTTTTCTTAAGGCTTTATGTGGGATAAACAGCAAAGATTTTAGTACAGGTATGTACAAATGTTAGCTATTCAGACCATCCATTTTAATACTTAATGTGTTTGATAAGCAACACAGAGCTGTGATAGATTAAGTCAGCCTATAAACCCCCTCAAGTCCCTTGATCTTGTTAAGATTTGAAAATGAAAATGCTTTTTGGCATGGAAAAGGATTTTGTCCTCAAAATTTCCATTTATTTGCTCAGATTTCAAACTAACTTTTTAAACCCACTTGGTATTAAGCAGGAATTGTTATTTATATCTGTTTCTTATTCATTCTGTAGCTTTGTAAAAATTGGGAATCAAATTATTTCAATCACTTGGTCATTTCAAATGAAAATGCAATAGATTTCTCAACTGTGATGAGGATTCATTACTAAAAGTGGCCAGTGAAATCCTGCATATATTCTGCAAACAGAACATTTGTTTTTCAACTCTGGTCCATTTTTATCATAAGCCAGTTTATAAAAAAATTAGAAGAACATACCAAGCAACCACCACGTTGCAATGCCATAGATTATCTTTAAGGCATCTATTTTAGTAACCTTGCATTCCTAAGTCCATGAGTTCCCTACATAAAACCACCCATATACATAGTTATACATAGTTATACATGGTTAGTTGATAAAGATGCTATTTGGAAATAGTTTGTACCCTAACATCATACAGTACCACCAGAATTTGGTAGTCAGATGCCGTTATAGTTAAATTTATAGTTACATTTTGGAATGTTCTCCCCCCCCCCAAAAAAAATCCCTATTTTTATAAAACACATGATTGCTATTATATGATTCCAACTAACCATGCTGTATATATACCCTCAGGCAAGGACTAGTTGGGTCAAGGAAAAAAGGGAAATTGGAAGGCACTGTTCTTAATTAAATCCTTTAAAATTGTGTTCACTCTTGAATATACCAGATTTTGGAGTATTAGCATACCAACTCTGCAGCTCTGCAAAGACCTGTTTCATTTTCTTAATGGAAGCATCCATCTCTTCTTTAACCACAACCCGATATCGAGACAGTGACACGGTGCATCGCTGGAGGTCTTTTACCGATTTTTCAATATTGGAACCTATCCAAAAAGAACACAATAAAGCGTCAGTACTCCTTGCAAATTTTCCAGTAATTATCAACACTACAAATGACTTGCCATAAAGTATTTGTTCATTACAAGAAAAAGAGATTTAAAAGAAACTTGAATGCTACTTTGAATGCCATTTCTTCCAAATGTTTCTGCTAAATATTTACCAGGAAAAAAAATGTTCCAGGCATAAAATATCAGCATTGAGTTATAAAGAGAAAATATCTAATTGTGAATAAAACTGTAAAGTTCACACTAAGATTGACTCTCCCCATTACAATCAAATCTGCATGAAAATGCCTTTTCCTCTAAAAGGGAAGATTTAAGGTTTAGGTACTGGTTGCAAAGGTTAGACTCTCTGCTGGCTATCTCCAAAAAAAGCACATTTCCAAGCTTCTTTCTGTCACCAGAAATTATTGAAGTGCTCACCCTCTGTCTCCCCAAAACTATGGATAATGACCATGTTTAGAATCAAGATTTTGAAGGTCTTATTTGCTGATAGGTGTAGAAGAGGAGAACAGAAAATAAAAGAAGGAACAGCAAGGACTGTTGCTTCTCATTTATCGACCCAGGTTCATTGAACACCTGGCTCACAGTGTGGGAAAAAAAGTGTGCACAGCTAGGATAAGGAATATAATGATTACGAGGGAGAGCACACTTTTCTAAAACTATGTTGCACATTACATATACAGAGTGAATCATTGAGCAATGCCAGCTAATTAAATAATCTAAGTCAACTAATTCTCATGTTATTTGCACATCCAGAGGAGGAAAAATGTAGTCTACATCTTGCCCCAATATTTATATTAAATAATTTACAATCTTTCAGTGCTCCTTGGTAAGTCAATTACAACCAGTTTCAAGTAACTCTAGCTATCTAATGTGCTCTGCAAATTACTCCCCACTATTAATGCAATATATTATGTAAGAGCTCTCTTCAACCCAAATAGAAATATATAAAGAAATTCAAGTAGAACTGTAAAAAAATATTGTGCCTGGTGAATGCATTTATTCCCAGAGCAAGCAGGTATTATACCATCAGGCTTGAACAGATCTGTAGCAATTTTGAACTTGGATCTAAGCCTCCCTTGCAAAGTCATCATAAAAACTAAATGAGAATTATACAGTGGCAGCAATTTAACACTGAAATAGGCAAGATGAAGTGATTGATCAAAATCAGGGAGCAGAGAAAAGGCAATCAACTTCCACAGGTATCCACTCTTCATTTACCAATCCCAGTGCAGCAGCTAACATATTACTTATGTTAAAAAGCAATAAAATCCCCATGACAAATGATTTGTTGTTCAGAGCATATTAAAAGGTTATCAATAAGCATGTCAAGACAGAACAAGGATAATCATACTGAGATGTTCTGAATATTCATCTTAATATTTATGTAAAATATATTCATATATTTGGACATTAAGTGTTCAGAACAAAAATGACAACTTCAATTTTAGATTCCATTTAATTTAATCTTACTATTCCCAAGGAATACCTGAAATGATAGATTAGGCTCTTTTTGCTTATCTCTGAAACAGCTGAAGGTTAGGCTGATCTGGTACATCGTTACCCAATGAACTTTATGACTCAGCAAGATTTGAACAGGATCAAAGTCCTGTACAATCCACCACAGCACAACAACTAATGAGATATACACTAAGAATTACAAGCTTTAGAGTAAAAACAAATGTCAACTGGTACCCTATAATTATTTTGCAACAAAGCACTTGTTAGAGAAAAACTAAAAAGAGAACAGAATCATGTCACAGATCTGTAAATTCTACCTAGTTTTTTGTTTCCAGGGGGCACAGGGACCTCATCCAGCATTGCTAGGGATGAGGGAGCTGGAGACTGGGTGCTGGAAGCAGATCTGGAGAGTGGCTTGCCAGCATTTCTCAATTCAGGTTGCACTCTGAGGGACTGGGTATTCTGGGAAGACCGCGTGCTTGCAGATTTTGGACTCAAGTTGGTTATTCCATTTTCAAACTGTAACAATGCTGAGGAAGGGAAAAAAGAGTTACTCTAAACTTCCCACAACCCATAAAATAACATTAAAAAGAACAATAGGATAAGGAATTTTATGTAGACTCGAATCCCAAATTACTTTTCTAGAGTATCTCTGTATAGTGAACACCTACCTACCTAGAATTTACATCAGGGCTAGTCAACTATGGCAACTTTACAGCCTATAAACTTCAACTCCCAGAATGGCTGGCTCAGGAATTCTGGGAGTTGAAGTCGACAGGTCGTAAAGTAGCTATAGTTGCCCACCCCTGGTTTACATGGTACTCAATTTTTCATTTCAGTACATTCACTGCCCATGCAATCTATGGATTTCCAAGTCAGATTATATAATTAAATACAATTTCCAGTTAACTAGTATTATTACTGTCATGTTGCTTCCATTTCTATCTCTTTCCCCCTTTGGAAACCTGGGAAGAGTCAAAGTAATTTGAAAAAGAATGATCTCCTTCTGTGGCAACTACTGAATAGCGGAAGGGAAATTCTAATTATTTGGTTATTGAATAATGAAATGTGGCAGAAGGCACTATACAAGTAGAATGGAAGAAGGAAGCCTTCCTTACCTATACAGACTTTCTGATTTTCATAATAACCCAACAGAGAACTAACCTGCCCCATCAGGAGTGTCAGGTGTAGCAGGCTCGCTCTCTTCTAACTCTCTCGCATCAATGGAAAGTGTCTCCAAGCCTTCACTGAGTGAGTCCACAGACTCTGTGTCATTGGCCGAACCATTGACATGGTAACCGTTAATCCCACCCTTCTCTGATGAAACTGCAGACTGTTCTTCTTCAGTGGTGGCTGGCTTGCTGGAGTCGGGAAGGTTGGCACTTGATTCTGCGGGGGGTTTTGATTTGGTCTTCTTCTTTTTGTTCTAGAATTAAAGACACCGACATTATGAGAGAAGAAACTAAGCTTAACTCGTGGTATGAAATGGAATATTATTACTATTCCCTGAATATAAAAGAATTAAATTCTTCAGCAGTCAGCACTTGGGGACAACCCCTTAAATGTGAGATGGATTTATTTAACAGTCAGAACGGACAGACTGTGATATTAGTGAAATATAGCAGCCATTTATGGAGAAAGACAGCGTGGCTCTAAGGGATGTTAAAAATGCTGCATTTTACCCCAAATTAGTCTGAAGGGCTGACTATTCTCAGAAATATGCCCATTCTACTATTCCATACAAATACAGGAACAAAAATATGCCTTGTGAAACCTCAGAAGACAGGACAATTTCAGAGTCTGGTTTCAAATAGTTAATGGATGTGACCTTAGCATCACACATATCCTTAAACCTTCTACATTACTGAAAGAAGCAGAATGAATTAGGGTATACTTGATTTTTATCATATTTGCACACAGAATCTTTATAGAAGATGATTACTTTACCTGGGCTTTCCACACACAAGAACAAAGAAGGAGAATGCTGGTCAGGTTAGACCTTGTTCTAACTCAGCAGAGGTCTTACATACCATATATTCATTGTTCCTGGGACAGAATGCTCTAATAGCCCTAAGCAAGTACTGGAATTGTTTTTTGCTTCTCTTTCCTTCCTCTTCCCCAGAGGTCTTTTTCAAAACCTCATTCCCTCTTATTTAATCTAGTTGCGTCACCTCAGTTATGCCACATGACACATAACAGGAGCTAATGGGCCATGACTATGGATTGGCTATGGATCCCTGATGTAAGGCTGACCTTCAGCATAAATTAAATTTAATGTTGCCAATGTGAGGATTAATAAAGGAAAGGCTGCAAATGTCTTCATGAAGGTTGGCAATGAGTTTCCAGTTTCCCCCTTCAAGGGCTCTCTCTTTCTCTTTTGCATTGGGGTAGTCAGACTTTTTGGACTAGTAGAATTTCTAGTGAATTTTTAGAATTTCTGTTGGAATTTCAAGATTGTGTTGTAGAGATTAACAGGATGGAGATCCCTGACCATAGCATTAAATAAATAAAAATAAAACAGAATACTCTTACTATTTTCAAAATAACTGCAAGAGGGGGAACATCCGGCCACAAGACATCTTTTTATCAGCAGACAAACAGATGAGATTCATATTCTTAATTTCTTACACCCTAATTTACTTTTGTATTTTTTTCCCCTGTGGGCACACTTCTAAACAAAGCAATGGACTACAGCCACAAAAGTTTTTATCTTCTAAGAAGGTGTGTAGTATCCATTGGTAAATTTAGATCATGCAAGTGCTCTGTAGCAGACTCCTTTTTTTAAAAAGTGTTAAAGGAAAAATGGGTATGGAGCCTCAAATATACTAAGTGAAGGTCCTATAGGTCCTTTGGAACTTATAAATGGTTTGCTGGGGATGTCAACTCTGTTTCCTTGGGGGAGGATGGAGGACCTAAGAATGAGGAACTGAAGTCTCTGGAATTATCTGTCATGAGGATCAGAGATAATAACTAACAGCCCCATTATAATTCAGTAGAATATCAAAACAATCTCAAATCCAAACCAAGACTAACCTTTTTCTTGCCAGTTACCGTCCATTCTTTCAACACTGCAGTAGCACTACCTGTTTTGAAAAAAAGCACATAATTATTATGGTTTGTGTGCTCCTTAGCTTTACAAAAAAATAGCAAAGCGCTCAAGATTGACTCAGCCTTCCATCTTTCCGAGGTCAGTAAAATGAGGACCCAGATTGTTGGGGACAATATGCTGACTCTGTAAACTGCTTAGAGAGGGCTGTAAAGCACTGTGAAGCGGTGTATAAGTCTAAGTATTATTTAGATTTTTTTTATTTTTTTAGATTATGATATTGCTATCATAGTGAGACCTGGATTGTTTTCCAGAATAATTGTTGGAATTTAAAACATAAAAGCTGAAGAATACTGGTCAACAAGCCATTGAGTAAAAGCTAAGTTGCTAAATAGGTACTTTTAGGATACAATTTAGACAAAGTGACAAGGTTTTAGGATTTCTATGCTTCCTAGAAGACTGTTTAAGACTGATTTATTGAAGCCAAAAACCCAAAAATGATGGCGTCCTTACAGTTTGTGAAATCAAACTTTCCAATTAATTTTAGTACCTAGTCCATTAGTTCATTTCAGTACAGAACAGCCTCATTAAAAAATGCTTTCCTAATCTAGGCCCTGAAATGTAGAATTCTAGTAGGTTTAACCAGAAAGTCTTGTTTTCAGAAGTCTGAAATAGATTGTGAAAGAACTCATAGGATAAAGCCACATTTAGAATAAAGAATGAAACCTTTTTTTTAAAGCAATGAAAAAGGATTATATTGTTTAGAAAAGAGATGCACAATACCTTCTAGGATAAGAGCACAAAATAAAAAGTGGTTGTTAAATCATATCAAAAAACATTTATTTCATTTTTATTTAAGTTAGTATGTTACTACCATGTTTTCCCCCTTCTGTTACAATTAAAATGACAATCTGATACTCTAGGGTAGCGCCCAGAGCTTCCAAAGGCAGCATATAAACTTCATAAGTAGTTCCTGCTGAGTTTCTCATTAGGCAAGGAAAATGTCAGTTTCCATGAGTTCCCATGAACATGCATAAATGAGTTATGGAGAAAACTTGTGAATGTGCTTTGCTACTGGACAACATAGAACTCAATGTGTAAAGCGGAATTTTAACTGAACTCACTGCTCATTTTTCTCCACCCCAGGCAACCAATTTTAGTCTTCAACAACGAAACAGAATTTAGAAATTTTCTAATAAAAAGGGCAGACATTTTATATTTCCTTCATAACTAATCTTGATGTAGAGAGATTAAGTCTTATATACTCCAAGTATCATATGTAACAAGTAAGCCCTGTGCGTTAGTTACATATCTTGAAATACCACAGTATCAGAAAATGAAGCAATGTATAAATATATTTCAATAATTATTTAGCATTCTGTAATTGCATTATAGTAAGATTGTATGTTAAATGACAACCTATTTCATTTTTCATATTTATTTTTTGAGGCCTGCCAGAAAACATCTCAGGTAGGAACTAAGAACTTACCTTCCATGAAAGCCTGTACGGTTCGATCTACACAATTATCAAAGTGTTGCAGCACTAGGATAATCTCATTGTTGCTACGGTTAGGGACTATCGCTCTCACAGCACTAATCTAGAAAAATGAGATATGCAGGTCACACGATAGCCAGTTACTTCCCAGACAAATATGTGCAACTGCCAACACAGGATAAAAATTAAGTTTCTATTCTCCTAAATTGAATTCAGTTTCGCTTTTACTCTGGGAACAGCCCATTCATTTTTCCTCTGGCAGCCTGTGTGTGGGGTTAACCCATTTCAAGCACTTACACTAGAGCTGCAAGCAATATGAGCCCACAGCATGACTAAAGCCTTCCAGCTTCCACTGGTTAAGATGTCACTGAAAAGCAAATATTATGACTCAATATGCTCTGAAACAGTCTGACCAGAAAAGCTTGTCCCCAAATCAATAGCAGCTTTAAAAAGAGGAAAAATAAATGTTCAGCCATGAGACAACAAGAGGCAGCACAAGAAGCAATGGATGGAAACTAATCAAGGAGAGCAGCAACCTAGAACAAATTTTCTGAGAGTTAGAACAATTAATCGGTGGAACGATTTGCCTCCAGAAGTTGTGGATGCTCCAACACTGGAAGATTTTAAGAAGATGTTGGACAACCATTTGTCTAAAGTGGTGTAGGGTTTCCTGCCTGAGCAGGGAGTTGGACTAGAAGACCTCCAAGGTCCCTTCCAGCTCTGTTATTCTCAGACAAGTTATCTGTCAATCAATGGTTGTGATTGTGGAAGATACCACTTCCAACAGTAAAAGGGTCACAAGAAAAGTTAAGAATTTATTGTAAATTGAAAATTTCCCTGTATACTTCCAAGAGAGTCATCATACTTTCTGACTTTCAAAGCAGTATTATGCTATTTTCGGCTCTTAATGAAGTAACCATTAAGATATTACTTACCTTCTCTTTCATATTTTCAAAGGTACCTCCTTGGGCCATCACGGTGTTTGACTGTACATCAAAAATAAATCCTGACAAATCTGAAGAATCAGAAAGAGATTCAGAGAAAGAGTTCAGAAGAAGATGCAGCAACAAGGAGGAAATATAAGTTCAGAGAGTAGCTGCAGTTATAATCGTTCTGTGCAGAATCATATAAATACAGGCTGGAAATTATGCTAGAATAACTCACCCAATCCCTGAAAGCAATAACTTGCAGGCACACCCCCTTGGGAGAGGCAGAAAGCGTATCAGTTTCACCTGTTGAATACCACAGCACTAGTACATACTTTTTTGAAGCAGGCTTCTGAAACGAACAGTTCTGGCAATATTGCAAAACTAGTAAATATTAAAATATGCACTAGAAAAGTATTAATTGAGTAGTTTTCAAAGTCAGAAATTCAGACTTCTATGCCCAAGGCATACTGAAGTTCTTCTTAATGTCTATCACTAGATTCTATGTAATTTTCAGGGTAATTCTATTTTTTAGATTAGAATTAAAGCAAGCTGTGTTTCCTGATAGCTGTAAACATTTCTTGGCTATTCTATGTTCCAAGGCTGATTGTTCATTAGTTGATTTTTTTGGGAAAACTCATTGTCCAATGCTGATATAGCTGAGGTTATTGTTAATAGCAGTGAGGAATCAGTTCTTATTTTCAGGATTGCTGGATAAAAATGACTGGGTTTTTAACTGACCTCACTGATTCCATACCCAGTTCTACTATGCTCTTCCCAGCTCACAAAAAATAATAAGTTATGTAGCAGAAGTACAAATTTTACCCCTGAGGTAAAGATACCCTTTGCTACCTCAAAGGTGTCCCTTGCCCACCCAAGATCAGAATTCAACATTTAAAGCAGTGACATGTGTAACAATCAACTGGAATCCACTGTCTTTGATTGAAACTCATAGCTGGAAAACCAGATTGACTGTGTAGTTTATCAAGAGACACACTAGTTCTGTTTCTTTAACACATTTATTTTGAGAATATGTTGAAATTTTTCTACATTAGCAACCCTAAAAGAAAAACTCCCAGAAGAATCACAAAAGCAATGATTGACTGAAACCTTCTTCAAATTGGCAATATAGAATCAATTATGGCAACTGGATCAATTTCAACACAACCATATTTTCCTGTTCTTTGCTAATACAAAAAATATTACCAAATCTATGAACAAGAATCCACTTCATCTCCAAAAATTTACTTAATATTGAATATTGCCTCTCTCTCTCTGCTTATATAAAGTGCAGGATTTCTGTAATGCATTATTAGGTCTACTAATTATTATAATTTTCATGCAAAATGATATTCTGCTTTTATACATGCCACCAAATAGGGATATTACAGGTCTATCCTTTTATCCGTTTTAGACCAAGTAGCAAATGAGTTTCTTGATGACATAAATACTAGTTGGTGATGAAAAAATCAGTAATACAGCAAATGTAACTTGAGATATTGTGAAAATTCTTTAAAGTCTCCAGATCTGAAATTCAAAATTCAAGCAGGAAGTAAACATGTAATATACACTTTTCTTTCAAAGGTTATCCAGAGATGTGTTAGTTTGATGTCTCTTTTAATTTTAACAGATATTTCTCTGTCTTTTGAATTGCATGAGGAATTCAATGAAATATTACATGAGGAATGGAATATTAATTTGCATAATGCCTTTATTCTCTCCAATAACAACTTGAGGTCTTTTTCCTTTACAAAGTAATAGTTGAAAAAGCAGTTTGGGGAAATCAATTACTTGTTCCTCTTAGATCATTAATAAAAAATCTCAACTTGTTTGCTAACGTTGGTTTAACAGTCCTCTTTTCACAAAAATACATCTGCACCATAATGACAACAAAATGAAGAGGTCAAGCATGTATTCTATTGCTTTAAAGCAGGGGTGTCCAACCTTGGCAACTTTAAGACTTGTGGACTTCAACTCCCAGAATTCCCCAGCCAGGCATAACATCTCTTTATTAGATAAGCATATTCAGGCAGTTCACATTCAGATTATCATTCAATCATTTTTCCTAAATATTAAAATAATTATTTAAAAAAATACTGGAAACAACCTATTCACCATAGCAACAATATTTGTTACTTGCTGACTGCATTCAAGTAACCAATTATTCTGACACTATTTTAATAAATAAACCTTAAGAAATAATTGGTGTTAGCAAGAGTTCAGTCAGCTGTTCCCAAGCCCTTTTCCCAAGTTCCTTATTAAGATGAAAACCCAAAATGGAATCTTCTATCAATAATAGCGCCATCAAGGTAACATTAGTGACATTTTTGCTTAATTTTAATTTAGCATGCTAGAAAACAGACAGCACATGAATTTGTAATCATGTTAAATTTAATTAGTATTAAATGAGTATCGTCATGGTCCTATAAATTTAAGATGAACTATGATTACAGGTGATCCCACCAACCTACCATGTCAGCATTATTAAAATTGCAAAAGAAAACTGTATATGGCAAACCATTTATATAACTTTCCATATGTGATTGCCAAGGTGCAGATCTCAAGATGTGAGCACAGTGTGGGGTGTGGATTTTTTATCTATAAAAAAGTGCATATGGAGAAAAAACAGTGAGCTCTTCCTTCTTCCATAGCTTATGCCATTTTCTCTGTTCTGAGAAGAATGGATGGAACATCGGAAAAGCTGAAGTATTTTAAATGGCCCTTAACATTTTTCTTCAAAGGTTATCGTTTGAAAACTGCCGCTGTAGGCTACACAGAATTTGTTCATAATGTAATCTTGTTATATATAAGAAGATGCAGGAGATGTGAAGATGTGCACAGTGTCTTGTCCTGCATCGTGAGTGATTGAGATGTTAAATCTTGTCTGTCCTGCACATTGCTGTGGATTTTTAGATGCAAATCTACTTCTGAGACTTTATAATGATCATGACAAACTAACCATGTACCTCCATCAGGTCAACGATGAACGAAACCTTTGCTCTTTGGTGACATTTTCATAAAAGACAGAGCAACCTGACAAAGTGAAGAAACTCCGCGTTGCTTGCCAAGAGATGCTTGCTAAATAGGAGGACAATTTAGTCATCCTGCTTATTTCCCAATTACTTAGTAGCAGCACTCCATAGAAAATAGCACATCGTAGACTGAACAAGGAAGGGAATTTGTTGTTGTCATCATAATAACAAAAAATGAAAGTAATAATCCCTGGGGGCAATTTTATACCACAAAAGAGAAACTTGACTTAATTAATCATACTTAAGTAGGAATTGCTAGAAATTCAACCACCTTTTTCAGTTCATTATTCAACAAACTCTTTAAGAACTGAAAAAAACTCATCACAAAATACTTCAAGAGCAAAAGAATAATTATCTCTTGGGAAGCACCCATTGCCACTCTATCTCAGCCCTCTATGGCTCTGAGGCCAAATAGAAGGAAAATGGGAAAGATCGTTATTCATTAGTTGGAACTACAGCTAATGGCCTATTGTGTCCAGAAAGTTCATTAAAATCTGTACAATAGTATGAAGGTTACTATAAACCTGGCTTCCGCATTGACTGTGCTTGTCAAAAGATTGCAAAAGGTGATCAATATAACCCCATGGACACCACAACTCTCATAAATACACACCAGTTTCCAAGCATCCAAATTTTGATCACGTGACCTGGGGATGCTGCAACAGTGTGAAAAATGGCCACAAGTCAGTTTTTCCAGTGTCACTGTAACTTTGAATGGTCACTAATTGAAAGGTTTAAGTCAAGGACTATCTGTAATTAGGTTTGCATCCTTTATCTTTTAAACAGGCTTCTGGTTCTGATTGTGGAGAGCAGATGGTCTTGTTAATATAAGGCTTTCAGGGGGCATAAGTTTGGCATATGGCCTTTTCCAATTTATTTCCTATATACAACTTAGGTGTTAAAGAACATGACAGATTCATTCCCTCATAGTAATCTATAAATTCTACATTCAAATGTCCATATAACATTAGCGGTCTATACTATTAACTATTGCTAATGGTATGAAAGATTCAAGAGATAAGCAAGGCATTTTGGCAGTCATACTGAACTTCAGTGACACTTTGGAACGAAGTATCAAAGCAAAGATAATTACCATTGCCAGTTGCATTTATATAATAATCTGTAGCATGAAAAAAATCAACATTTTTCTCAATAAACTGAGATTCTTAGGACTTACATTAACTGCTAAGGAAACAATATTAAACATTAGTTCTGATTGAAAATAATACCCGATACAAGTCACTTATACAGGAAGTCTTCAATTGAGTCCTCAAAATGTGTTGTTACGTAAGACATTTGTTAAGTGAGTGTTGCCTCATTTTACGATCTTCCTTACCATAGTTGTTAAGTGAATCACTGCAGTTGTTAAGTTAACAACATGGCTGTAAAGTAAAATTTCGCCATTGACTTTGCATGTCAAAAGGTTGCAAAAGGGGATCACATGACCTTTGGACGCAGCAATGGTCATAAGTATAATCCAGTTGCCAAGCACTTTGATCATGTGATCATGTTGTAAGTCGAGAACTACCTGTATAACATGAAACTTCACTTGCTGTCATTTTGTTGTTGTACCGAATTTGTGCAAATATATTCTCTTTAGAAAGGGAAAAAATGAATTTGAACCTACATTTGTAGTTACATTTGTTTAGAATTCTAGAAAATTTTAGAAATTTTAAATCCCCGTTTCAGAGAGATTAGTTGTAAAAGAATGAGCAATATTTATAGATATACATTTATGCAACCCTAGATTCAACAAGAACTGCAAGATGGGCAGCTAATTTTCTTTGTAGCAGCTTTCCTATGCAGCTGAAAACAAATACCGAAACACTTCTAAGTGAGAAATTCTGATGCAACACAAAAGAGTTATTGCTAATAAAAACAAAAAATATAGCTGTAAATTCCTTTTAAAAGATGGGCCATACTTTTCATTGTTCCATGAACTATAGTCAACACTGTAGTGTGATTTTTGCAGTTGCTTTTTCCATAAACTCATTTTTTGTTCCAAAAAGGGAAGATAAAACAAATTTTGTTGTATTTAAGTACAATGACAATAAAGA